GCTGCGAACTGAAGCCAAAGCAACAAACCCAGTTGTTGTTATTAAAAAAAAAAAAAATCCCAAGAAAATAACCACTAAAGGCAAGCGGGCGGGGTGTCCTGGGGGTGGGGAGCAGTCGGGGGTCCCAGGATCACAGCACTCCAGTACCCCCCAAACCCCTCCTCACCCCGACAGGGACCCGCGGAGACCATCGCGCTCCCACGCCAGCTCTGGTTTTGTGGGCAGCGGGAAGATTTAAACTGCTGCTCAAAAGTTCTTCCCTCTCTTATTATTTTTTTTTTAAATAAATTGCATTAAATCAAACAGAAAAGGCTGAAAGTAAAATCCTTTTCTGGCAAAAGGTGTGGCATCCACGCCTGGTACCCCCCTCCAATGCCACCCGGCTCAGATCAACGCCTCCAGCCCCATCCACTCCCGCGGACATGGCTTTGGAAATAAATTAAAATAATCCAAGTATTAAAAAAAAAAAAGTATCAGATACGCATTTCAAAAAAATTTTATTTTTCAAATGAATACGGTTCATTTACAATACACCCAGCTTGATGGTATCTAAAGCCAGTAGAGATCTGATGACTGTTGTGTACTATACACAGTCGTACAGAGGTTACAGATGCCTACGAGAGGGAAGGAACAGTGAAAGAAGTTGACATTTTACTGTGCTGGAAAGAAAGCAACTCTTGCAACAGGTAGAAAATTTTGGCAAGAACAATTCGTCTGGAAAGGGAGAACGGGCAGAGGACACCGCTTCTGCTTAGCAAGTACATCTCAAAACACACCCGACACGTGGTTTCCCTCCCACCCCGCATGGTTGCAGCCCACATCCGCAATACAAATAGGCACACATGGTCAAGATGGTTAAGTAAAAATAAAGGCTTTTACCAGTTTGTTTGCCATCCACCTACGATCTATTTGTGCAATGTCTCGAGTCACAGCTCTACTTTATTCTTGAAACAATTCCCTTTTGCTTTGAAAACCCTCAGTACCGTCACGGTGGGAACACCTTCAAGTTCCTGCTTAAGCAATGGTAACACCGAAACGAGAGGGGAGCAGTTACCAGCATATGAGAAAGAGCAAGACGTACACATAGAAGGGAAGTGCAATCCACTGGACTGGTTTATTAGAATTTTATTCTGAAAAGGAATCCCAAACAGCACAATAATTTTTTTTTTTTTTTTCTCAATTTAAACATATGGTATTAAATACGCAAAATTTATATGCACGACATTGCTTCCAGCAGTCTCCTAAACAAATACAGTTTGATCACCAGCAATGTTTATGGCACACGCTATGCCACCTGAGCCACCTTCTCCTGAAGATACTTTAATACCCATATTGGCTCATAACCGAATGCTACCAATTACTGTGAAAGCTTTAACATAATACCCGCTGAGAAACAACGTTCTTATCTAGAATCAGACACCTCCAGGCCAAAAAACAGCCTAGTTTTTTCCCCCATGACAAGCAACAACACTATTTATCCACCAATAAGCTACCTGGGGAAGCTTAACTTGCTTACACCAAGGGAAGAAACAAGAATACGACAGGACGATCCGTACCCTGTGAGCCCAGAGCGTGCCGCCTAACCTGCGAGACGCAGGATCCATACGCCAGCGTCGCTGGTCACAGCAGCAGGGGCTGGGCAACGAGCCTGTAAAATCAACGTTTCGGATCAAAAAAAACACCCCTCGTTCTGCCAACTCTATTGCTGTGCTGAGGCTAGCTTTTCCCAACTGCCTGCAAAACAGACACAAGATGCAGGTTTTTCTACAGGAAAACATTTAGTTGTCTCAAGGCTAGATCCAACACTTGAAAACTGTAGAAATGAGAACATTTCACCGAAGAATAGAAATTAAGCCCAAAGAAAACTAAAAACTATAGCCACAGGAGGAAAGTGATGCACAAAACCGAGTACCCAAAAGAAGCCATTCTTCCCTGCAAAGTTGCCAGAAGCCAGGAGACGAACTTCACCTCTAGCAGTCCTCCTCTCACCAAGTTTTTTTTTTGGCGTGCGATTTTCCTCACCGGTTAAAGAGCGCTACTCAAGTTTCCCCTTTGCTGGCACACCATCAGGTTCAAAAAACTTCAAAAAGTTCTTTAAATTTAGCATTGCTCCAGTGGGTATTATTATTATTTGCTATTACGTCTGAGTGAACACTAACCGGCGAGACGTGGATTTCCTATCGAAGAAACCGGTTTTGAATATATTTAAGTGATTTGCAAGTGTAAGCATAATGAGAGTTTATTAGTAACTATTTTACTAGCTAATTTTTGCACATCTGTACTTAAATGGGTTGTGGACCTATGATTTGCGGGTTAGTATAGCCCTAAACTCAACATACAGTCATATTGTTGTGTTGCTAGATAGTATTACAGCAGGTATTAATTTTCCAACTGCCAAATGCGTTTGAAAGACCTACACGATTCTCAGCAATGAAAAAATAAAAAAAAAAAAAAAAAAAAAAAAAAAAAATCCTCTCATTTAAATAAACTTGCCCTCTGACAGTCTGTTTTGCAACAAATGGATTACCTTAAAAGCAAGCGACAGGCAAACATCACGGGAGCAGTCCCCATGGCCTTGCGCGGGCAGAGCTGCGATGCCAGCGAAGAGCACAGGCTCGGCTCAAAGGCAGGCTCCGAACAGAACGGTATTCGCTGAAGATGCAAACTTGCGAGAAGGTGCACAGGTTTGTGTCAAGAAGTAGCACTTCCACGACATGGTTCATCCTCAGAACACCTAACAGCGAGCTCTTGTAAGGCGATGTGAATCATCGTAACGCGTTTGCAAGGTAGGGTGAGGAATGAGGCGGAATCGTTTCCCCAGGGTCAGAGGGAACCCATTTCCGAGCCAGCCTTGACACCGCAGTCCCTGGCTGGATAACTCAGCAATATCTCAAAACTCCACAAAATAAAACCTATTTAAAAAGCTCTCCCATTTCAGTCTGAAAATCCATTTTTTTAGCAGCTTTAAGCCCCAACTAGCCACTAGGACACAGGTGCCTGCTTTTGCGCAGCGCACAGTCTACAACAACCCTCCCTCTACTCGTACCTCGATAGCAGAGGATGGGGAATCTTCCCCCCCCTCGTACCACTTTGCTAACTCTTTCCACACCCACGAGACCACAGCATTTTGTACGCAGACATCACTGCCCTCAGCTGCTGGCAAGCTGCTTCTCAAAGAATTATCTGTGATGTTTAATCCTCACCTCCACGTTCCCGCTTAACCAGACCTCTGCACTGCTCCTTGACATTCCCTGGACAACGTTCCTCGTGTCCTTACAGCCACCAAAGGGGGTAGGGGGGAAGAAGCGATGGAGTGTCTGGAAAGCTGCAGGAGCACAGTGAAGAGTGAAGACATTACTGGACAGGCAACATTCAAATAAAGGCAGAATTAGTGATTCTCATTAAACAGAGAAACGTATCAAGGTTACATTTTATTTTAAAAAATTGCAAGTCTACCAGGAAGTATGTTTATTTGATGACGTTACTCTCCAGAAACCACTTATTTCAAAAGCTTCTCCTCTCTGGGTAGTTCTAATTCCAAATAATTCAGGGCTCGCTTTGACTGAGTGATTCAACGCAAAACCAACTCCACTCTGACCAAGGACTTCAAGTTTAAAAGCAGTTAAGAAAAATACTAACCGTACTACCAACACAAAGCCAAGCTTTTTCCAGCTCTGTTCTTGATCAGAAAAAGGCACATGCTTGCTCTCAGGAAGGTCAAGTCCGACACAACCAGCTCAGGACACCTAAGCTAATGTTTGATGTTCCCCTCAATCTCCCTGAGGGGCTCAAGCCGAGCACAGCTGACCCGACATCACCCAGCTCCCACCCAGTCCTTGATTTCTACAGGTTGCTTTCATCACCATGGCACTACCACCCCCCCTCACACCCAGAGCTGATTCACCTTCCACACAGCTACAGCCTCAGCATGGCTGGTTGCAGCCAGGCAGCAGAGGGAGCGCGATCCTGCGGGGGGACACAGGGAGGTAGGTGAGTGCTGAAGAGCGGAGCAAGCGTAGTGCTACAGCAAAATGAACTCTACAACTGCCCGCTGCTGTTCTTCTTGGTAGCCAGGCACTCTTCAGTGTGAACTGCGTCAAAATTGCAACCAGAAATCTATCAGAGCGTCGATGTTCTACGGAGGGGTCAGTTATTGCTCACAAACCCCTTTGGCTCCGTTGTTTCAAATAGCACCGATCTACTGGAACCTCTGTCTGCTTCGGGCAGGTAAGGTAGCTTCAAGGTTGAGATACAAAACACAGTCTGGTGGAACGGTTGTTACAGGCACTGCCACCTGCTTCTCAGCACGGTCCTTTTAGGAGGTGAACAGGCACTCAAAAAAAACCCACAGGGAAACGCTTTTCCCCTCTATATATTAATTTTTGAAGTAGTCATTTGGGGTCTTTTGGGGTAAACTGTGGGTGTGAAGATACAGGCTCATGAGGTTCTAGCAGCATGAGATTTTTTTTTC